CTCATGGTCCTTATGGCATTCCAATCGCCTCAACAATAAATGATGTATTAATGCTCCTGAAAATTGTCCATCAGTAGGCAAGTCTAATAAGCGGCCAAGTTGAGAGAACCTCTGAAACTTAGCTTGTTCTTTATTTGTTAGCCAATTCTGAATATTTTTTATGACATTCAGTTGTGACCGAATGGTGATTTTATCCGAAAAATCTTCCACGGTCACTATACGTGGAGGTAGTTCAGGCAACTCTGACGTGCAAATTGTTCTCGGTATCTGTATTAATAGAAAAAAAAAACCTGCATATTCACACATAACCACCACTTTGATAGTACAGATCAACTACAGATTGTGTAACAAACATTGTGGAGGCCAAATAAGAAACAACCCCCTGATTGACATCACATAAGTATAAAAGCAAAAAGCCCAGATAACAAACCATAAAATAAGATTCTCCCAACTTTCCGATAGATCTAAATCTCACCAAAAAACTCATTAGCAACAACTGAATAAAAGGGAGAGGTTCGGCTTCAAAATCATAAAGAAGCTAATACAAGGACGGAGAGTGAACACACAGATGGTCATGCAATGCTACATTGAAGGACCAGATGTGTATTTATCTAGGTCAAGTTTCACAAATAATGGTCCTTCGAAATTTAAAGGGGAATATTTTACATCTAGCAGAAGTAATGAAGATGTCAAGATCCTGCTGCAGTGTACGTCGCCATTGTTATGGAGCAACAACAGTGCAGTCTTACTAGCAGCTGCAGGGGTGCACTGGATTATGGCTCCATGGGAGGATGTTAAACGAATTGTTAAACCACTATTGTTTGTCCTAAGATCCTCTAATGCCTCAAAATTTGTGGTAGTTAATCATTTCCTTAGCTTTCAGTTTTTGAAATTAATTGAGGTGTGGGTATGTTAATATGTTGTATGTTGCTTCCTTTACTAATCTTACGCGTTCTATGCCTGCATACTCTATTTTTAATTTTTCCTAGTTTTAGCAATCTTCATTTGAGAAAGAATGAAGCCTGAAGGCCTTATTGTTGTTTTGATTTATGCCACATTTTCTCTTTTAGTCTGCATTATATTGGTAAGTACCTTCCTTGGTCAGTAATGCTAAGATCTCTTTCATTATCAACCATCTTTTGTCAGTTTTCGGTGGATATTGCTAGTGAAGATTGTTTAATGGTTGATTTCTATCAGGTCCTCTGCAACATTCAAGTGTTTGCATAAGCAATGCCTTCTCTCTTTGCTCCTTACTTCGAAGACTTCTTCACATGCTCTTCAGATTCCTATCCTATAAAAGCTTTGAAGCTGGATATACTGGCTTCCATTGCTACAGATTTTTTCTGAGCATTTTTCCCACCTATTTTATCAAATTGCCATTTTCTTGTTCATTTACTCCCCCTCTCACTCTATTTATCAAATTGACAAGGCAAATATAATGCTGATTTTCAGAAGAACATAACATATTAAACAAATAATATTTATAGCCGTAATTTTTCCTATTAATTTATATGCAAAAGAAGATGATGAAGCACTCCAAAAAAAGGAAAAAAAAAAAGAAAAAAAAAAAAACACAATCTGTAGTTCAATCGCAAAAAATCATTATGAAAGAAAACCTTACTTGTTCTTGGGCTTGAGGTGATGGCGGCGGTGGCGGCGGCAAAGTTGAAGGTGGAGGCAGCGGCTGTGGGGAAGACGGTGATGGCTGCAACGAAGGGGCCGACGAAGGCAACGAAAAATGCAGGGGTGAATACGTGCGAAAAGCTCCTTCCTCCGGCATGATCGTTCTCTTGCCTTCTTAGTCGTTCGTTCCTCTTAGAATTTTTCTGCGTGAGGGCTCGAAGAAGGGAGGAGAAGGAGGAGAGCTGAAATTTGGAGAATTTATTTATTTATTTATTTATTTTGAGAGGGCTGCGTGAGGGCTCGAAAAAGGGAGGAGAAAGAGGAGAACTGGAATTTAAAGAATTTGGCGCTCATTTAGCCTCGAGAAGCAGGCCTCTGTTTTTTTCTTCAATTAAATTCTAATTTTAATTTTTGTTAATAATAATACTCAATTAATAGATAAATACCTATTAATTATATAATTAAGAATTTATTTAAATAAAATAAATAAAATTAAAATTAAAAAATTATTTTTTTAATTTTATTTTTTCACTTAGTTATTTTAGTCAAAGTCTCTCTCCAGCAGATTCTCCGCCTATAACCAAATTCTCTCTCCTGCAGATTCTCCCACTAATCTGAAAAAAACAAAAAGTAAGACTAGTACGGGAGTGCTGATTTCAATCGGTACTCTTCAAAAAATAAGTCTAAAATAAAAGAATTTTCGGCCAATTATGAGTCTTCTTTGCTGATGTTGACAAGAAAATTAAAGTCTTATACCATATTCAACAAACCAATCGAAGTCCAAATGTATTCCCACAAAACTTCACCAATTTTTGCCCATATCAAGTCACAAGCATCGTGGTCGAAGGATTCAGAGGATTGATCAAAAGATTAGAGCAGAAAGTTCGGTTTGCATTCTCCCAGTCGTAAGAAGCTGGTATTGTGGGGAAACTTTCTACTTCATAATCATCGTTATCGGGAGATACAGGTGTGTTGATCAATCTCTTGTTTACAAGTTGTTTTCTAGATACATTATTACTTCACCTTTATGTAAGTTCTGAAACAAGATTTCCTACATGTCGCGGGAAATTATTCTAACATTGATTTTCTCAACGTTAATAATTCAAGAAACTCAAGAATTTAGTTATAGTTCAACATGAAAATATACAAGGTACGATTAATCACGTATTATTTTGACAGCTGTTTGATATAGAGTACGAAATTGAGTTACATTTCTTTAACGTAGTAATGTGAAAATATATATATATACTTGAAATGAGGGATTAATGAGGAAATCGGTGGAAAAATTAGTTCGATGCCTTGCGTTCTTCAATAGTTGGAAGATGAAAATAATGAAAGATGATTGTATACAGCTGAAATTATGATAATTACATGGAACTTCAAATAGGAATCATATTTTTTTTTTTTTTTAATTTTTATGAAAGAGTTGTATGGATCAATCAAAGTATGTTACAGCGAATGTATAAAACTGAAATTGTTGTTATTAATTTAAAAAAAAAAAAACGTGCGAAGAGCTAAATTGCAAAGCAATCAGGGAAAGGCGATGAATCCAGAAAATCTACGTCTACTTGGCGTTCAGGACACCGGGGGTTTGGCAAGAATTAGTCTGGTAATACAACAATCTTTAATTTTTTTTTTTTTTTTTTTTTTTTTTTGTGTTTTTGAGTGTCTTGAGTACGTATATATAATAGCCAGGCCTATTGATCATTAATTGAAATGCAATGTGGTTTCCAGAACCTTTACATTTGCAGGTATGTTGGGATAACGAACTTAAGAAATCTGAGGAGGAATAAAATTACCAAGGTGCTCTTAATATCAAAGACACTCCACGCACGATTTGAGGAGAGTATAAGCACTTGTGTGATTAAAAATTGTAAGTTCTTCTTAACTTTTTAGGTCCCGTTCATTTCACCGATTCGAGTTTAGAATTCGAATCTTATTACAGTAAAAAATTCTCAAAAACAGTCACATCTAATTTTTTTTACTACAGTAAAAAACTCACATAAAGTCACATCTTAACTCTAATTAAAAACTCAAATTAACGAACTAAACGGGTCATTAATTTATACGCTTCTTTATATTATAAATTCCTGAACACTTGCTATTTTTGGCATCGATCTTTGAGTTTGAATAGCGCTAGAAATTTTACATTTTATTTTTTACATGGATGGAGTTCGAGAAAATGAGATAATCGGGTCCTTAATCAATGCATTCCATTTTGTTGATGATGCCCTGAATGAGGCCAAGAGAGTGGTTGTTACTTGCGGCAATAGCAGACCTGAGAGGTATCAGTTAGATATGAAACCAATATTTATAGTTTTGAGTTGCAATAATTCAACTTCATATAAAGAAATTTTCACTGAAGACGTACCACATATTTCCTGTTTGCAGCGTAATATTTTTTGTAGCTTACATGGTAAGATCCTTTGGGCTAACCTTGAATCAAGCACGGAATGAAGTTATGGCTGTGTGGCCCAATGCTGTGCCCCTAACCCAAGCCCACATAAATCAACTGCAGCTTTTTGAAGACCAAATTCATGGTTAGTTAACTGGTTTGAATTTTTTATTCTATGTTAAAATATAATTTTATGTGAGTTTTTTTATTGTAATAAAAATATTAGATATAATTATTTTTAATTTATTATAGTAAAATTTAAATTTTAAATTTAAATCGGTGAAATAAATGAGACTTAAATTAAATCAAATTCTAGCTAGTAGTTAGTTCATTTAAATTCAAATTATAAATATTAATTCATTTAATCGTTACAGGCCTAGAACTGGTAAATGTGGGACTAGAAAATGTTGAAGTACCGGTGGTGCTAGAGCAGAATGACGGTTTACTCGATGAAGAGAATGAACCAGAAGTCGTTGATTAAGCTACAAGACTACCGGCATACTTTTGTCTAGAAGGAAATATAGACACGACACGACACAAAAATAAAATATAAACACGACACGATATAAAAATAATTTGTAATATAAAATTGATTTGTAAATCTGATCTTAATACGAAAATTATATATATTTTTAATTTTTTACATATTAAAAATAATTAAAAATTTATAACACGTTAAAATATAATAATATATAATCATATATATTAAAATTAAATAAATAATAGTATTAAATTTTAAATATAATTATTATAATATCACTAAGTTCATAAAAAATCTAAAATATATAATAAAAACTATATTTTTTATTTTTTATAAATTTTATATTTCGTATTTAGATTAGACAAATTTAATTTAAAATTGGCTCATATTTTTTTTTGTCAATTTTAAATCTACACAATTCTAAGACAAATGTCTTTTTTCTCAATTTTAACCCGCAAAATTCTATGACCGTGTTCCTAAAAAAACGCAGGTCCGCGATAATATTGTTCGGCTATTTTCATTCCTGTAACTAACAAACTTATGGTTTACTTTCCTTATTACGCCGAAATTAGGGAGCCAAACGTTTCGAATATATCTATATATGCGTGTATATAAAAATATATACATACATATATATATATGTATGATTTTGCGTTTTCCCAAGTAATGGCATCTTCGTTACTCCGCCGAAAAGTTTCGAGCTTGGGAGTGTCTGGCCTCCACGGTTTGTTCTTCATTTATCTTTTTTTTTTCTTTAATGGAATTTCTTTGCTTGGTAGCAGGGAAATTAGTAACAGGCTTTTGGGTCGTTTTGATTTCAGATTATGGTCTTTAAGGATTATGATTGTCAACCCTTTTAAGGAAGTTGTTGATAGCGGGCTTTTAGGAAGTGCAAATTTTAATTTTTCTTGTTTCCAATGTATTTCTTAGAGACCCAAAACTGAGAAATGCAGATTTTTGGGTGTTCGGAAAATAAAAAAAATGTGGGAGACTAAGTGTATGTTAGAGATGTAAATTGAGAAAATGAACTTAGTCAGATGTTTGTCTCAATGAGTTTTACTTTCATAAACTTTAAACAAAAATACCAAAAAAAAAAAAAAAGTTTTTGTATTACTAGAAGATGGATAATGAATGTTGTGGAACTTCTTTGAGAAACAATGTTGACATATTTGTGGCTTCAATGTTGAAGTGGAATATGTCTTCTACGTTCTTCAGTTTACCTTTGGTTGATCTCCCTAAGTTTCAAGTCTTCTGATAGTATTGTTGTTCATTTTTGTGCTTGGATGCCTCTATCTTTTGGCATTTGGAACTTGTAATGGGTATTTTTTTTTTTTTTTAAATAATTGGAAACGGCAATGTTGTAATAACTAAGTGAAAAAGCACATCAACCAATCAAATGTCAAATTCTGTTACATGCTCTACTTGGTGCCAACTGCAACAATTAGCACTAAGTATAGCATATGCCAAATTGGACATTTAAGTATAATATTACATTGGAGAAAGTTTTCTTACCCAAAGGCTAAATTTTGGTATTAACATAGAAATTTGGCATTGCAAAGATGATAGATTTTTGTTAAACTAATGCTTTACCTGGAATGAACTTATTGTTAAACTAATGCTTTACCTGGAATGAACTTAAGGAAATTTATAATTTTTATGCTTTTCTGAATTTTAACAGCCTCCTGGTTTAGCAGGTATTGCAAAACCTTTTTCTGTGCGTTCGGAGTCGGAAAATGTAGCTGTAGTTAGTGTTTCAAATGTGATAAGGCAGTTTAGTCGCTCCAAGCATTATAGGAATGTTGATTTTACGACGAGCTCCAGTAATTCTTCAAAGTTCGACTGTTTAGACCTGACGTAAGTACATGCGTTGCTCTTTAGCCAAATAAATAAAAACAAAACTAAGCACATGCGTTCTTGGAATCAAGGAAATCTATATGGTTTCCTGAGTTCTTCTAGATGAGTTTGTATTTTGATATTATTTATTCAACATCTTCTGGAATGTATCTGTTAGGTTCATTTTTTAGGTTTAAGAATCTCTAAATGGTTTCTGTAATTTTCAGTCTCTCAACTCATGTAAATCTGACGTCCTTTGATTTTGGAGTCAACCATGTTATATGTGAAATGGAGTTAAAAGTCAAAAGAGGATTTTACTGGGTCTCTTGATTTTGGGATGAACCGTATTCCACAGCTTGCCAAGTGCTCCTTCCTTTTCTCTCATGTGCCATTTTGCTCTTTGTGCTTGCTATAATTGCCAGCTTTATATCGTATTTACTTTAAAGCGCATCAACTAGAGACAATCTTCTAAATATTATCCTCATATGTGGTTTTTGCTGATTCAGTCATCCTCATACTTGGTACCCAAATGCTCGAAGGAAGGAGCGCAAGATTTTCTTGCACATGGGTCCAACAAATAGTGGCAAGACTCACCATGCTCTGAAGAGACTTGAGTCAAGTGCTTCTGGTAGTTTAAAACCCAACAATGGAGTTGGTTTTGGTAAACGGGAGGGAGAGTAATGATGTAAAAAAAACTAGTAAGATTGTTCGCTTATTTTACTTTTTTGCAGGAATGTATTGTGCTCCTTTGAGATTGTTGGCTTGGGAGGTGGCTAAACGATTGAACAAGGCAAAAGTTCCTTGTGATCTACTTACTGGACAGGAGAGAGAGGAGATTGAGGGTGCAAAACACAAGGCTGTGACAGTTGAGATGGCTGATGTGACCTCTGATTATGAGTGTGCGGTTATTGATGAGATTCAGGCATTTTAACTATCTATGTACTACGTAGACTCTAGATTTTTTACTTTCCATTTAACAAGTCATGATAATTATCTTTCCATTTAACAAGTCATGATAATTATCTTTTCATTTAACTAGTGGCATTTTAACTAGTTTCGCTAAAAATGCGTAAAATTGAAGGTATATAATTCAGCCTATTCCATGTGAAAAGTAGATGTCGAACAACATGCAACGAGTGATTACAAGGCACGTAGATGCTCTCAAAATTATGAGGATTAAGTTTCCACTGCTAACTAATTGGCTTGTATTTGTATTTCATCAGCACTTTGTGATACAGCTCCGCCAAAATAGCTGTCAAAATAGTAGTAGTTGTTTTCCTTTTCAGCATCAAATAATTTGCATTAGAGCTGAAGATGTGACCCTGTTTTGTGCACATGAAATTATTGGACTCTGATTGTTTTTCAGATGTTGGGCTGTAGAACAAGGGGATGTTCTTTTACACGTGCTCTATTAGGAATATCTGCTGATGAAATTCACCTTTGTGGGGATGCAGCTGCTGTTCCATTGATTCAGGATATACTCAGTGTCACTGGTGATCATTTAGAGGTAATTTTTTTGGCTGGCTTTACACTTAACTCTAGTGTTTTTCTTGCTCTAGTTTGTGATGATATTCTAAATGACCCTCCATTAGGTAAATTTTTTTATTTGCACATGGATCACTTTTTCTTCAAGGTAGGAATTTTTTTGGTCTTCCTTTTTTCTTTGAAGTCCATAATAGCATTCCATCTCATGTTGTTTGTTTGATGAAGATGGATAGTGGAGCAATCAACCAAAGGACCATTCCATTTTACAATAATTTTAATGACAAGCTTTATTGTATATCAAGAGTTTCCCTTGATGCAATGTTTTCAAATCGTAAGTTATTCTGTATACAACAACAACAACAACAACAAGCCGTAATCCCAAATTAATTGGGGTCGGCTATATGGAATTCACTTTTCCACGCAGCTCTGTTCGCAAGTTATTCTGTATAACTTGATTTATAAAGAAGGAAAGGAAGAAGCAATAATGATAGTTTTTCTGTATCAAGGATTAGGCCTAAGGCCTAAGATTTTGATTCCACGTTGTGTCGTGAAATGTTCTTTTAATAATCAAAAAATACCCACCAACTTTAATAAACCAGATTATAATGACTCAACTTTTCTTTTGTCATTAAACTAACACTAACGGTTCTCTGTTTTATTTTAGGTTCAATGCTATGAGAGACTTTCGCCATTGGTTCCACTGAAGGTTCCTCTTGGATCCTTTAAAAACATTAGAACAGGCGACTGCATTGTGTCCTTTTCACGTAGGAAAATATATGAATTGAAGGTTAGTGTTTATTTTTTCTCCCTTCTATTTGTGTATTCTCTTTCATATTTGATCTGACATAACTTGGTTTCAGCCTCATTTTCTGGTTTATTCTCTTTTCATTTCAATTTCCTTAAAGTTTGATATGATTTTCTTGTTCTGAGGATGAGGTGTAGTCTCTTATTTTAACACTCAACTACTTATGTAAATTAATAATGACAATGCAAACGAGCATTATTATTCAACCCCATGGGATTGTGGCCCAGCCCTCCAACAAGCGGTGGGCCCCACCAGATGGGGCGTTGTTGAATCAACTTTTTCTTAATTCCTAGATTATTATTTTATTCATGTTGCGAAAACAACATTTCACCTGTAACATCTTGCTTCCTACAAAGTTTTGTTTGCCCACAGGCTAAACTAAATGAAATGCACGACTTTGTTAACCTAGTATGCAAAATGCATGACTTGTGTTTCTTGTGAATGGAAATGGTCGGTCTCTGCATAATTCCATCCATCTAATATCTCGACCTTAAAAATCAAATTGTCTGGTCTTATTCCACTTTGAGCTTGATATAAGATGGGGAATAGAATAATGTTTCTTTGTCTTGCTAATTGCGTAGTTAATGAAAGCTCATGTTCTCACGTTGGCCATAGATTGATCACATAATTCTTAACATGGTAACCTGTAAGGGTTAATCTTCTCATTCTTACCTTAAAGATGAGTATATCCCAATTGGTTTTGGTTGAATCTTCATAACCGCGCGCGGCCCTGCTTAGAGCGCGTGAAACTCATCACTATCTAGTAAGCCAAGATTTTTTTAGCTTATCACAACCACTAGTCCATTCTGAATTCTAGTCTACCCTGGTGTATATCCAATTGTGAGAGTGGTAGAGAAAGAAGAAAGGACAGATGGTTGTGGCACCTAACTTCAATCTGCTAGACAAAATACACTTCTCTAGCGTATGATTGTTTTACTTTTGATTTTGTGATCTTTTCTATTACTTTTCCTGTGTTTATGACGAGCTATCTTAGCCTACTTCTGGACTAATTTGTGTTGATGTGCTGTGGCTGGCTTTTTTTTCCCTATTTCTAGAGACAAATTGAAAATGGAAGGAAACATCTTTGTTCCGTAGTTTATGGCTCCCTTCCTCCGGAAACTCGGACAAGACAGGTAATAGAACGTGACCACAAGTATGCTTTTTATTGGCAAATAAGTTTCAGAATATATCTGTTGTTTATCTATTAGATATTACGAATGCTAAGAAGTTTTATGCAGCATTCATGGGATTTTCCATAATTCTTCGCCCTTAGGAATTTTACAATTATCTAAGAATTGGCTGAATTAATAAATTTTCTAGGATTGCAGGCGACAAGGTTCAACGATGAAAGCAGTGAGTTTGATGTTCTTGTGGCTAGTGATGCCATTGGGATGGGACTTAACCTGAATATCTCAAGGATAATATTTTCAACAATGACGAAATTTGATGGTATAGAGGAGCGGGAGCTCACTGTATCAGAGATCAAGCAAATTGCAGGTGCCGTGAAGTCCAAATCGTTGCTCGGGGAACTTTTGATATCATATGTAAAGCTTTATTAATAAGCACAGCTAGAAGAAAAATCTTAAAAGATTCAATAGCGTCTCAGCTTTCTATGGCGATTGTAATAGTTTATAATTTTTCTTTGTTATCATCTAGATGCATACATCTTACCTAGTTTAATTGCTTGACGTAGCGCTTTTTTTTCCTCCTTATAGGCAGAGCTGGCAGGTACGGATCAAAATTTCCTGTCGGTGAAGTAACTTGTATGGATGGCCACTATCTACCTTTGCTTCATACATCATTGAAAGCTTCATCCCCAACTTTAGAGGTAAAGTTTTGACTTAGATGGCCTGTCCATGAAACTTGCATTTGTCATTGAGAAGTCAATATTCTCCTCTAGATTTGGTCTGTCATAAAAGTGCTCTGTTTTCTGGAACTTTCTCTAAAGTCTAAACTGGTGCCACTATTTCGATGCAGAGAGCTGGGTTGTTTCCTACGTTTGAGCTTATGCATATGTATTCACTCTTACACTCCAAAAGAGGCTTTTATGAGATTCTGGTACGTGCCTTTTATTTATTTATTTCTATTTGTTGAATATTAAGCTATTATTTGTCCACCTCCTCTTAATAGCTTGAGCTTTTGGGGAAATTGGTAAAACTAATATAATACCAGAGCAAGATAATTGCTCTCTCCAAAATTGCCATCACACGTTGGACCTTTAATTTGCTTCGGGCTTATAATTAAATATTCACATGTTGGGCCTTTTAATTAATATTTACCTGCACGTGAAGGAAACTGTTAGATTATAAAACCTTGGCTCCCCTCCTAATAGCGCCCCGGGATAATTGTTAAACCCACACTATTCTAATATGGATCTTTGTTTTGTTTTTCGAAACAGTAACATAGCAAGAGTTGAATCCGAAATTGCCCCATATCATTTTTTATAGTTTTTTATGGTAGCTCCAAAACAAAATCATGTACTTATGACAAAATTGTTATTACACAAATTCTATGACAATTTAGCCGTTCTGCTTTATCATATGTGTTTATATTTGTGTTATACATTTTTTTCTACTTGCTTGGCAGGAACATTTTGTAGAGAACGCCAAACTATCTGCAAGTTATTTCATTTCTGATTCTGAAGAAATGATGGTACGATTGATTTCTATGACCTTTTTTCCAACCATAAAGATCAAGGGGAATCATGTCCAAATGTTATATTTCACAAATGTTATATTTCATTTTTTAGAACCAAGAAGATTACAAGAGGATCATTTTCTTTATTCATTTGTTTATGTTTTTCTGCGTGGATTTCTGTTTCTTTATTTGTACTCAAACTTTATTTCACTGTGATTCAGAAAGTTGCTGCTGTTATTGATCAGCTACCTCTTAGTTTGCAGGACAAATACCTTTTCATTAACAGGTAACGAAAAACTTCTTTGAACTCTATATGTTTATTATGTTGAACCAAAAAAAAAAAAAAAAAGGTTATTCATTGTTCCTCTCTTCTCATAAACCCCCTCTAATCTTGATGAAAACAAATCAAATATTTTTCTCATGCTCTTTTATTCCGCTCCCAAGACATTTTACCGACTTAACTGGCTGACTCCCAAGAAAATTTTCTCATACTCTTTTAATTATTCGTTCATTAGGTTTCTATTTATGTCTTTGGTGTACAAATGTTTGGTTGACAAAGGAAAATCAATTAATTCAATTAATTATTTTTCCTTTTGTTTTCTTTGATATTTTTTAATGTGCAGCCCAGTTGACATGGATGATGCAATTTCAGCTCAGGGTCTTACACAGGTAAGAGATGTTGGTGTCTTTCTTTATAAATATTAATTTTTAAGTGTAGAAATTTACATGACCTGTATATCATGTTCAGTTTGCGGAAAATTATGCAAAACGGGGCATTGTTCGGCTTCGAGAAATATTCATACCAGGGATGCTTGAGGTTCCAAAGTCGCATACTGAACTCAAGGAACTTGAATCCATTCACAAGGTAATATGGAAAATCAGTACTAGCCATCTTTCATTTGGCTAAAGGGTTTCAATTTTGCTTGTACCTTCTAGCTGAAAGGTAAATTTTCACGAAATGAGAAAAGGATGTATTGGCTTAATAGTTTGGAAGCTGGTCTCTGTTGCCAAGTACAAATTGTTTTACCTTTTAAGTTTACAAAGAGAGAACAAAACATGGAATTTAGATAAAATCTTTGCCTGGCCTCAAATTCATCATTGCTACTGCCACATATTATTAACCTTCCATTTTACTTTGTCTGAAAATGACATTCAGATTGGCTGAAAGGACAAACCACCAACCCTTATGATTACTAAAGTATGTTGTCATTATATTCTTATTTAAGACCCCGAACCATTTCGAGATCAACGTTTATCTAACTTGTTCCATAAGATATGTTCTCTTTCAGTGATTAAGTTTTTCTGCTAAATTTTCTTTTTGGTACATAACTGAAGGTGTTGGATCTCTATGTTTGGTTGAGTTTCCGATGGGAGAGCTCATTCCCAGACCGCGAGGTGGCTTCAACACAAAAAAACATCTGCAGCTCGTAAGTAGAAATATGCCCCGACAAACATATAGGGACCGTTGCATGACTTTTTAAAAGTCGGTTATTAGCTTTGGTATCTAACTCGTTCTATACAACTTGCAGGCTGATTGAGGAGTTCCTTGAAAGATTTGGATGGGAGAAGCCAAAGTTCACCATACAAACATTACCGTCTCTATCCGAAAGGATAAGACGTTTGAGGCAACGTTCAAGACCATAAAATTGCTCTTCTTTCTCATTATCCCAAAGGCTAGATGACATTATCGAGGCTAGATTTTGGTTTCATCATTCTTATAGATTCGTTCATACAATGTACAGAGTATTGTTAGTAGGGGCTCTAAAAGTTGGTGCTCCCAGTTAATCATTTATAGCTCTCACTATGCTGATGTATCTTTTGCTGAAACCATACGTAGATTGTATTTTTTTCACCAATTGAGAAAATAAAATAAAGGTGGTTTACTTTGAATCATGTGTCTTTGCTACTGTGTTGCTGGCAAGGATGAAAATGTTCTTGATTTTCGGCATTTTTGTCAATATTTTCATAGGATGACTGTCGATATATTCTTTTAGATCGTAACATATATGAAAGAATTTAACTATAAAATGATTATTATTCTTATTGAAAATTTGCAATATTTCTCAAAATAGTTGTTATATCTGTCGAAATCTACATGCAACGTAATCCTGTAAATAAGAAATCAAGATTACATTTAAAAAATAAATAAATAAATAAAGATTACATTTACCATCGAAACCAGGACACGGCAAATGATAACTTAATATAAACCTTCTTAATTCAGCCACTGATTTTCTTCTTCTCTTCTCTTTTTTGTTTTTTTGTTTTTTTGTTTTTTGTTTTTGTTTTTGTTTTTGTTTTTGTTTTTTGTTTTTTTTGTTTTTTGAAATAGCTGCAATTCTAGCCCAAAAGGCTATGCACAGTTGGTCGAGGATGATCAAAAGAAATCTATCTTAGAATTAACTTAAAGCTAATGCTAAATATTTCCTCAAGAAAAGATAAAGCTCTCATGTTGATCGTCCAAAACAAAAGGTTAACTTTTTTATTTTTTATTTTTTTGAAGCAAATTAATTTAACATGCAATATTCATTTGGAACCAAAAGAAACCTTAAGAATTCTCAATTTAAATTAAATTGTCACAAAATCTGAAGATACACTAACTACGTAACTCCTTTGCCTGTAACATCAACTTCTCAATGTTTTCCTTAGTTTCCACCATATTTTTGGCCTCAAGTTCCTTAAGCAACCTCTTATATGGGCTGTACTGAGGAACCAGTCCCTTAGAAACCATTTCCTCAAAGAAAGAGCAAGCATGTTCAACTTTCCCGCTCTTGCAAAGCCCGGTTATAAGAAGCGAATACGTCCCAACATCGATGCTCACGTCGTTGTTAAACATGTGATTTAGCAGAAAGTAAAGCACTTTCATCCTCTTTTTCTTGCAGCACATCTTCAACAAGGGAGCATAAGTCCCAAGATCCGGTTTGCACGACTCTTCTTCCATTTTCTTAAGCAACTTCAGAGCTTCCTCTTCTAGCGAATGGTCACAAACACAAGAAATCATGGTAGTATATGTCAGCCCGTTCGGAGCAACTCCTTGCTTTGACATGTCGTCGAACACTTCGCGGGCATCCTTCAGCCTTCCTGCTTTGCCAAGTATGAAAATCAGAGAGTTGTAGAAAGATGCATCAGGAACACATCCATTCTCTTTCATTTTCTCATAAACCTTCAAAGCTTCATTTACTTGCTTTGCCTTCCCCAAAGCATGCATTAAAATGGTGTACGTGACAATGTTCGGCGTGCAACCTTTGTCATTCATTTCATCTAGAAGAGCATAAACTTTGCGAAAATCCTTGTCACCACAGTATGCGTCAACCAAACAAGTATAAGAGAACGTGTCAGGTTTAAACCCGTGTTTCTCCATGTCCTCCATAATCTTCCTAGCCTTGTCCAATTGTCTAGCTCTGCACCACCCATTTATCAAAATGTTGAAACTCTGATCATTCACGGGTATCGATTTCTTGACCTCCGAGAAAACTTCATAGGCATGCTCAACACTTTTCTCCTTCATCAATGCATCCATAAGGTTGTTCAACGCGACAACATCCTTGCTTAAACCGAATCTCTCAATTCCCCGGAAGACGTCTATTGCCTCCTTATACATACAAACTCTAGCAAGTCTCCTCATGGCCTTAGTCATTGTGGACAATGAAATGTACCCTTCCAAATTGTTCATTTCCTCAATCAGCTCCCACATGAGCTGGAACTTCTTTGCTTTGCCTAGAATATCAATCATTAAGTCATACAACTCAGGGGAATGCTTGTAACCTGCCTGCAGTTTTGCCCATTTGAATACTCCAAAAGCCGGGACCCAATCATGGCTGAATCTCTTTAACAGCTGTTCAACTGTATTTTCTGATACACTTAAACCACACCCATCAAGAGCTTGAGCTGCTTCTTCTGGCGATGAATACCTGTTCTTTAGAATCTTACTAATCTTATCGACATCCGTCTCGGTAGTTTCATCGATAAACTGTTGAACAAGTTTACGGGGGTCATCAAGCCTCCGAGTCTCAATCCAATTAGCAAGAGAAGGTATAACAAAATCATCATCATCTTCATGTGCACTTGCAGGATTGACTTTGGCCCAACTCGGGAGCTCGGGCGATTCTGTAACTTGGGTTGGTTCAATCTTCGTGCATAGCGGGTTAAATAAGAGAGAGCGGAAAGCGTTGACATTGGTTTTTGAAATGGAAAATTGCCTAGCAGTAAGCAATTTTGTGAGCATCTTGGATAAGTGCTCAAGCTTTTTGAAGTTCGTTATTTGTGGGGTTTGCCTTGGGTTACCCAATGTTATAGTGACCCAAGAACTCAAAGTGATAATACAACAAGGATAGTTTTTTTAGTTTTGGTTCTATGTTTTTGGCTAGGCAATGATTCGAATATCAAGCTTCTTTGAACGACCCTGGTGATGATTTTGGTGTTACTCTGCAGTTATAGCTTCAGAAAATCATAAGACTTCCTAATGGAGTGATGAAAATAAATGACATAACTACCAAAGTTAAGTTCTTGACATATGAATTTCATGTGGGTTTACAGAAAAAAAAATCACTTCATACGTAAGGTAAATGACAAAACTCTTTTAAAGCTAATTTCAGACAATATTGTTTCATTTGGACATTAAAGTCCCAAAAGCAATATGACTGAAATCTATTTAACTTAACAGTACATCTCAGCCAGAACACAGATAAACATATTAAACCAAATATGACCACAAAAAAAAAAATCCAAAATGTTGGATTCAAACGAACAAACAGTAAGATTCCAATAACTAACAAGTTTTTTAATTGCCAAATACCCAAAAAGAAAAGTTTATTAATAAAAGAAAGAGAACTGAAGAAGAAGAAGAAAAAGGAAGGTCTTGATTTACTTACCAGTGTATTTAGGAGAGAAGTCGCAATTCAGCGAAGCAAAAAGTATGGTAATTTCCTTGCGAGGGCTTTTCTTTTTTGTTTCTGCCGAAGGGAAATACCGCCATTTCTTTCAGCTTTTTGTTTTTTTGGGAAAATTAGCTGGCTTTTTTTGTTTGGATAAAATCATTTTAATACATGTGTTATAAAAAAATATGTTCTTAATATTTTGTTTTTTTATAATATTGAAGTTATATTTCGACGTTTTTAAAAATATTTTTTTTAATATTTTATAGTTAATTTTTAAAATATAAAATATTATTATTATATTTTTATTTAAATAAATAAAAAATTAATAGATTTAAAAAAAATTATGAACTATTTTATTTTATTATTTTCTTTTAAATATTTTAATGTTCTAAAATATTTTTAGATTTTTTTAAAAAATATTAATTTCTATTTATTTGATAAAAATAGTAGTTTAAACATTATATGTCTTAAAAATTAATTTTAAGAGTATCGATAAAATGTTTTTAAAAACGTTAAGGTACTATTTTAATATTATAAAAATATAAGATATTAAGAGTATGTTTTGTTATAATATATGGTATCAAAATAATTTTATCCCTTTTTTTGTACCATAACTTTTTTTTATTGAAGAATGCTTAAGGACATGTGTTAAGCATTATCATTTGATAGAAGGTGGGTCCCACTTTCTATTAGATGATGGTGTTTTAGCACTATCGCCGCCCTATAATATTACTTTTTTATTTTATAAAAATGATCATTTTTTTAAGGAGTCAATCAGATTGACCCACAATTAATCAGTAATTGACCCATAATTTATTATGATTTATCATTAATGAATTTATAATTTTTCAATTGAAATTAATTAATTACTCATTAATTTTAATTAATTATTAATTAATAATGAAAATAAAAAATAAATTAAAATCAATTAGTGATGAAATGCTAAGTTAAGTGGCCAATAAATCAATGAAAACTGTTATTTTTAAAATTTTATAAATTCTTGGTCATTTATAAATAAATAAATAAAAACTCTAAATAGGGCCATTTGTGCTGAATTTTTGTTTTCTTTTTCATCCTTACAATGTCTCTTCTTGACCGTTGGTATGTTAGTCCTTTTATTGACAATCCAACGGTTCCTATCACTCCATAGAACTTCTTTGTCTTCTCTCTCCAAAAGCTAAAAATAGAGTTTCAAAGTTACGATTCCACAACTAGCAAAAAATAAAAAATAAAAAAATCACGATTCCACATCTCCGACATATTACTAGATAATTTGGGGAAGAACTGGAATTGGTTTTCGTCAAAGAGTTTTCCTCTTGCAGGTTTTTCTTTTTAATTATTTTTTATTCTTATTATCATATTTTCAAGAGCATTTTTGGTTTAAGATAAATTTTAGCTTTTTCAGGATTGTTATGCATATAAATTTTTTGAGGAAATGCTTAAACCAAGTTTGAGCTTATGGGTTATCTGAGTTTCCATAGAGAAATTTTAATATAGATTGTTTAGAATTGTCACTGTTTTTGGTCTTCTGAAATGTCAAAAGAAATTTCTTTCCTGATTGTAAAAGAAGAGCAAGAAATGTCTCAAACTTGTCTCTTGTTCAGTTTACTTGTTTTGTTGTCCAAATTCCTTTGTGGGTATTGTCATGCATGTTTATTATTCATGTGATATTGTATGTTAGTTTTTCAAAATGTTTCCTTACAGTAAACAACTATTATGTAATTTAGTTGTTGTTCTTAACATGATGTATGCAAATAGAATTAGGACAATGCCGTTTTTGCATTTGATGATTTAGTATTATTTGCTCTCAACCATGGAACTTCTTGTTCATAGTTGTGTCTTTTTTTTTTTTTTTTTGGCTCGCCCGTAGCTAAATTGATGCGTTTATTCTTCCCAGATTTACTGTATTTGTACACCATGGAGAAGGGAATACCATGGAATGAGCAGGTTGATGTCATATCCTCGGATGAATCTTCTTCGTCCTCAGACTCAGAGATTGAGGTTCGTGATTCGCATTCTGGCAAGCAGTTGTTGACCAATGATGCAATTGATCAACCAACCACTCATGTACTTGATCAACCTCTCAAAGACATAACATCTGAAGGTATTTGCACTTTTGAAAATTGGGACTTTGTTTTGAGGGAGTTGGTGAACGTTTTTGTCAGTTAATACAATGGAACAAACAGAACATCTTTTCAGCCTATATCTGAAAGATTGAATTTGCTATAGCTTCAATTCAACAACAGATTTTAGACTTCTTTGTTTCTCTGAATTTCATGTAATAAGCATCTGAAATCTGCTATCTAGGAGTATTATTCATAGGTGTTGTTTACACTAATGGCCCCCGAAGGATATCCATGTCGCCCCATCAGGGGAAGGGGCAGAGTTGATTTTGTATCATCATTGTTGTTATTGTTGGTGTTGTTACCATTTTAACATTCTTACAACAGTCACCTGCTCGGGCGTATTTTAGAAACGTCAAACTCTAAGAGTGAATGTTAGTGGTTAAAGTGATACAAGTGAAAATGAAGAACAATGCTAAGCACCACCCACTAATAAAGAGTGGGTCCCGTAGGGTGGGGCTTGTGGGACCCACATTCTATTAGTGGTGGTGTCCTTAAGCATTTTTTGACAATGAAATAGTGGATATCCTCAAGGGCCATTGGTGAAAATTACTCAATTTTTCTGCATAGACAAATTGTTGAGAAGAAAATATAGAAGTCATGACTTTTATTCGTGTAGTTTATGTTATTTTTTGGCTGACTTGAAAAATAGTTACATTAAATCCTTTTACTATTCTTTGTCAAATTTATTACTTTCGACATCGGTCACCCTAGCCAATGGCAACCTTCCTATTCTAAGGCGTAAACATGCATATATGCTCCAGGTACATTGATCAAAAGGGCTGAGCTGTATCAGGATTACATGAAACAAATTCCAATACCAACTCATCGTGGCTCTCTTATCCCATTTACCTCATGGATGGGATTAGGCAAATCCATCAAGCAGATGTATGGGCAACCTCTGCATTACCTCACCAATGTTCAGTTGAAGCATTGGGATCAATTGAGGATAGGGAGCGAGGAAGAAGATAGACCATTGGATACCATCGTTCACCCTTCTAAAGCAGAAGCAACCATCTGGCTCCTTGAAGAAGTCCACCGGCGAACGACATCCCATTACCACATAGCTAAACTCTGGCTGTTGGATCCAATGCACCATGCTTTTGTTGACTCTATTTTCCCACAACTTTGAAAACTTTTAGTTTTGACTGGCGCTTGTCGGTATAATGTTCTAGTTTTGCTCTTTAGTTTGCATATCCAGCTTGGAACTATTTTTGAAGTTTGGAATGAAATACAAGCGAATGTTCTTCAGTCATTCTTCTTTTCTTTTTTCTAGTCTGCTTCTCATAAGCTTTTCGTGTTTAATCTTGGCATAGAATTGCCATGGGGGGCAATATCTGCCTACTTTTGATCGAGATTTGCTTATAAGTTAAACCCCGCCCATGATTGTTGGTAATTTTGTTGAGCAATTGTCATCAATTTTGTTAGTGTGGTTAAGGAAATATATGCTGTAATTGGAGTGTCTCTTAATGTTGCTTTTCTTTCTGTACTACTTTGATTCTATTAGAGCCAACAAAAGATTTGGGACCTAAAACACTATTCCCAAACTTAAATTGCTTGAAGATTTATTAGGTTACAAATCCACAATGGGGCAAGTTATTTACAAACCAAATATATTATGTTTTCTTTCTAGAGGAAAAAACACTTAAGAACAACTATTACCAGTAATCACTACAAGAACATAACCCCTGCCTGAAAATATGGAACCTGTGGTTATCTCGAATGATTATTTCCCGGTTATATATGCGCGAAACTAGTTTGGCAAATGAGTGGCAATCGGAGCATGTTCTAAGGTTCTTGACAATACGAATTGGCATTCCTTGACCAGTGCTAATAAGCCCAAAAGCAATAGCCAATTTTTCGCTATGCCGGCTGAGAAAGTACTCTTTCTCATGCTCATCCACATCAAGCAGAACATTGCCCAACTCAGGAACATGACCAGCATTTCTGAGCCTGGAGTTTATTTCTTCTAGCATCGACGAGATTTGGCTCTGTTTCGGGTGACTATCATCACTACACATGAATTCATTAATCATCCCATCAACCTCTATTAAGCTTGTCCCAGGCACTTTACTGATCCCCTTTTCCTTCAAATGCAGCCTCACTTTTGCGACATCATTCCATTTGCCTGCCGACGCGTAAATGTTCGATAGAAGAATGTGAATCCCACTCTTCTGAGGAGCCAACTCTTTTACACTTTCAGCAGCATATGCTGCCATTTCGACGTTTTTATGGGTTCGACAAGCAGCCAAGAAAGACCCCCAGATCACGTCATTAGGCTCCATTGGCATGCTCTTTATCAGATCACTAGCTTCCTTTAACATTCCAGCTCTGCCAAGTAGATCAACCATACAACCATAATGAACAATCTCTGGAGTGATTCCATGGACTTCCTTCATTGAATCGAAAAGTTTCTGGCCTTGTTCTACAGACCCACCATGACTGAATGCTGTTAGTAGCGCCACAAAGACCACTCTATCCGGTTTCACCCCTTGGTTGAGCATCTCGTCAAAGAGCTCCATTGCTCGCTCCCCATTTCCTTCCATTGCCATTGCTCCAATAGCTGCAGTCCAAGCAGAAACGTCTCTTCTTGGCATGTTATTGAAAACTTGCATTGCACTTTGAGAATTGCCGCACCTGGCAAACATGTCGACTAAGGCTGTCCCCAGAAGCATATCACATTGGATTTCATTCTTTTTTATATAAGCATGGGCCCATTTAGCAAGATCAAGAGCTCCTAGATAACCACAAGCAGATGCCACCTCCACCATGGTCACCCTATCCGCTTTCATCCCCTTACTCTGCATATCTCGGAAGAGTTCAATTGCTTCCTCAAACATACTTTCTTCTACAAGAGCACCAATCATTGTGTTCCAAGAGACGAGATCACGCTCCGGCATCTCGTTGAACATCTTCCAAGCAGATTCCACATCCCCATTTCTAATAAATCCGGAAATCAACGAGTTCCATGAGACTACCGTTTTCTTTGGCATACGATCAAAAATTTTACAGGCCATCTCTTGTTTGCCAAACCTCATATACATGTCAATCATGGCATTAGAAATATTATAAAAACCTTCTAGTCCATTCCTTAACGCATAACTGTGGCAGCACCTTCCAGAAAGACTATCACCTAACTGCGAACACGCTGAGATTACAGACAACAATGTCACCCTGTCGGGTTGTGGGCCCCCTCGCAGCATTTCATCAAAAATAGAAAGAGCTTCTCTAGCCAGCCCCCGATCCACATAGTTTGACATCATTGTATTACAAAGAACCAAATTTTTATCAGCACACTGATCGAAAAGCCTCTTCGCATCATCAATAGCTCGGCATTTCAGGTACATATCGACAAGCGCATTCACCATAAAGGCGTTAAGCTTCACCCCTGACTCCTGAACATAAGCACGTATTTTCTCACCCAATTCAAGATCATTCAGCTTCGCACAAGCAGATATCACGCACACCATCGTAACCGCATTGGGCTCAACACCCGCAGCCACCATCTTGAAAAACAACGAAACAGCCTCCTTCGGCAACTCCCTCCTCGCATAACAACAAATTAAACTAGTCCAGGACACAACATTTCTCTCAGGCATTTCATCAAATACCTTCCGCGCACTATCCAACTCCCCGCATTCAGCGTAAAAATGAATCAGCGAATTCCCGATAAACAAATCTCGCTCCAAACCCATCCTTACAACCGCCCCATGGAGCTGAATGCCCTCTCGAAATGCCTCCGCCTTCGCGCAACCGCTCAGAACAAACGGAAAAGTGTATTTATCAGGCGTAATTCCCAAAACCAACATCTGAACATAAACCGAAATGGCCTCAAAACCAAGCCCAGCAGAAGAGTAACCCCTCATAAGGGAATTGTACATGAACAAAGTCCCGATACTTGCCTCGTCTTCCTTAAACAACTCGAAAGCTCTGCGGGCATAATCCAAGCTTTCGGAGGTGCCCATTTCGGCGCCTTTCGCGATGAGCTCGGTCATGGAAGAGATTCTATGGTTTAGGCCTTTCTTCGTGATGTCGCAGTGTAATTGCTTGAGTTCGTCCATGGTTTTGCAGTTTCCGAATGACCCATTTGGAGGAGAAGTGTCGTTGTTAACGATGGTTTTGGGTTTAGTTCTTTCGGGAGTAAGGAAGATTGCAGACGCCGAGACCAGAGGAGAGAGATGCATAGTTGCTGCCATTGTTGAAACTACAAATGCATCGAAATGGCGATGGAATATAAAGACGACAACACTAGAAGGCAGAAGCAAAGTAGCAGGATTTAAAATCAGAGCGCGCTTAGAATACGACAGTAAGTCAACAAACGACACGATAATGTGAAACAACATTAATCAAGAAAATGACTCGAATTATTTTGTTTTAAAAAAAAACGACATCATTATAAAGATAATTTTGAAAAAGACGAAAGGAGATTATTATATATAAAACGCACTTGTATACAGTCCCTCAGTTTGAAAATGGAGGACTTGTTTTTCATGTGTCACTATAAGAACTAGTGTAACTTTCTTGTATTGAATCGTAACAGTTACTATTTTAAAAATTATAAATCGTTTTTAAGCATGTGACAATAAACGAATATCATGCACACCTGTCATGAATAATTATGTGAATAATATTGAAAGACACATCAATAAATAACTGTCCTACATCAATAAAAATCTGTCATTTTTAATATGAATAATAATACGCACATCTGTCGTTTTTACTGTTAATATCAGTCGTTCTATCGTAATTGATTGTCTTTTTTAAACATGAATAATATTATCGTGAGGATTACATTTTTCATGTTTTTTTTCTTTTTTAATATAGGCTATCATATCATGCGTGAACATTTGTTTGGAGCAGTCCATCACAGTGCAAACCAAATCAATTACAAATTGATTTAGAGATTTTCAAACCAAATTAAACCAATTAAGAGATCTAATCTAATCCAAACCAAACCGATTGTAATTGGTTTGGTTTAATTTTTCTAATTGGTTTGAACTAATATTTTACAACCGCTTCTCAAACTCCCTTAATCGTAACTGATGCTAATATTTTGTATGATAAATATTTCTTATAATAGAAACTTATAGGGTTATGATCATTTAATATTAGAATAAAAGTATTTTTTATATATGAATGCATTACATATCTACAAAATATAATATAATTTTAGAAAAACATATATAAATTGAATTGGTTTGATTTGGTTTGTTTTTTAATGGTTAAAACCACAAATCAAACCAATTTAATTGAGTTTTTAAGAATTTAAATCAAACTAAACTATTATTAATTGGTTTAGTTTGGTTTTCTTTTAGTTTGGTTATAAAGTTTAAGATTCACAAATTTATGCTTTCATTTTGCACAAACACTATAATCATATTTCAACCTTAATATCAGGAATTTTTCTCCCAGCATAGTAAAAGTTCCCCTAAAATAAATCGTCTTATGCATCAAATTTATACTCCTTGCTCTTGTGGGCCAGAAACGTGGGTTTGCCACTTACAATATGTTGAAATGATTCCCTAAAACTTTACTTTAAGCCATCAACTCATACTTTCAAGACTTTTCAAATTTTGTTGGAGGAGATTCCTCAGTTAAAATGGAGAAAAATTTTATTTTAGCATGCAAGAAGATAACTCTGACCTTATTATTACTTAAGGTACAATTCTTAATTTCTTGGGGGGTTCATTACATACAACAGGTTTTAAAAAAAAAAAAAAAAAAAAAAAAAAAAAAAAAAAAAAAAAGGAAAAACAAATACTTAGAAAACTACTAATTATTGTTTACAGAGAACTTTTCTGAGAGAGCCTTAGATATGGCCCTTATTGTGTTTGGCGTAGTCCTACAGCATCCACCAAATAAGGAAGCCCCGGCCTCTTGCCACTTTTCTACGTACGACACAAAGTCTTCATCTACGACCCCATTTGACCTCTGCATTAGTAACATTTCGTGAAATAAATTACTATACTAATAACAGTAAATCTTGTCACATAAAGAAGAAATAATTGACATGTTTTAGAAAGTAGATCATGACGCTAGTAAACGATGATCTCCTCCTTCCCTTCCCCGCCCCATAACCGTGCGTGAATCTTGTGATAATTAGCTCTAAACTTTCAACGCGTAACAATATGAAAGAAAAAATGCTTAAAATTATCACCAGTATTAAGAATCACAACTTATAACGACTGAACTTATTCTCTATTTGTGTGTGGTGTCCAACGTCATTGGTGCTCTTTAACATTATTCTATATAAAAAGCACGACGAAAAAAAATAATAATCAATGTTATCTAGCTCTAATAAAGTTAACCACAACAAGACGCGTAAATATGCACCATATATCTTATAAGATATATTAAAGCCAAACTATTTGTTATAGTGCTCAATTTAACATTTTTTATATAATAGTTGAGCTAGAAACTCACTATCCATTGCTTGCTCACAGCATCATAAGTTTCACCGCTGTTGGGATATATCACTACTGGTTTACTGGATACCTGCCAGTTGTAGGAAGCCAAAGGTAAACATATTAGTATGAAGTGTTGAGAACATTTGTACATTCACAGCACAATATGATGAGCAATATATGCCAAATGAACAGTTTGGTAAGATTTGAACATCAAATACCTTATCAAGCATGAAACATGCTTTCATACCTATAACATATGGTTATTAGCCCAATAAATCACACATTACCTTCCTGATAGATGAAACCAGGCTATGGATAAATCTTGGTGGAGTGCAGTTGATTCCAACAGCTACAACTTGCTTGCAAGAATCCGCAATGGATGCGCACTCCAAGATGGAGTCGCCGCTTACCACGTTGATTCCATCTTTCGATGTGAAAGAAAACCAAGCCGGAATGTCAATTCCTTCTTCCTCTAGAAGTTCTGCATATGCCTGCAAAATTAATCATAATGCAAGGAAATTAGTTTCGAGACTTGAGATGGATATATAAAGATGTAACAATCTTTTTCATAATTTGGCTCTAGTTGTGATAGTTCAACAGAACAACGGAGGCACAAAAGAGTAAAAAGTGATCACCAATAGTCACCTTAGCTTCCAATTTGTTCGGAGTTGTTTCAAATGCAATGAGATCTGCACCGGAATTCGCTAAAATCTGAACTCTCCTCCTGTGAAAATCTTTCAGTTTTTCTAAAGTAACTGCATCACCGTAGTTTCCACTGTGATTGGCCACAAAAACAGAATGAATGTGAGAGATCATAGTCAATGAAGCACCCAAAATAACAAGGCATTATTACTTGTTATAGGGCTTTTGGCGCTTTTGTTTCTGAACTTGGTCTGAATTGGAAAGTTGCCTTTTAAGCTTTTAACTGCAGTAAATTACTCCTAAATTTAATATAGTGCTGCAAAGTGCCTTAATCGATGAATGTTAAAATGTGGTACGAGACATCCATGCACGTAACATGATGTGCTTCATCTTCATCTGAAATTATAGTCTTTCTTTAAATGAGCTCTCACCATGTATATGTACGAGGGTGTTTCTGATTTAATTTTAACGCACATCTTTGATTTGGGAGCACTCTGCAATACTTTATTAAATTCGAGGAGTAATTTATCAAAATTAAAAGTTTAGAAGGTAACTTATCAACCATAAAAACTTCAAAGGACAAATTTACCAAAGGCTAAGAACTCACCTGTACTCGGAACCATCGGCCAAATAAGCACCATAGCTGCCCACAGAGGCTGCAACTAGTATTGGACGTCTTGTAGACCTTCCACTTTCAACAAAATCCCAAGAATCTTTGGCGCATCTGTCGTAATATATTTCGCGAGCCTCGTAGGCGAGTTCGACACTTTTCTTGAGTAAAGCTTCAGCTTCTTCTCTTGAGAAACCCTTGGCCTCAAACCCCTGTATGGTGGCCTGTTACAGATAAAACAAGACAACAAATTCTACTATGATTACTATATCAACAATACAAATATTAAGTAGAGAAAAGAAGGGTGCAACAGAAAATTACTTGATAAGATCCACTGATAATGATATTTGCACCAGCATCAAGGTAGTCCAAGTGCACCTGTTACATGACTTCAGAAAATTATTAAACTCTGAAGAAATGAAAGGATGGTGTCATTTTTTTTTTTTTTTGGTGCGATCATGTAATTAAGATAAGGCCAACATTTACTTTTTTTCATAGTGTTTAACATTATTAATTGAAATAATTCAAATAAGTATTTAAAACGACTACACGACATCTGAATAGGACTAACGTCTCTTCAGCCTTTAACAAAGACAAATCATATCGTGATAAAACACATTTAAATATTAAGTGACGATTTTTCTCACTAATACAAAACCTACTCAACTACAACTCTCAAACTTCTAGAGACATGTCAAGTTCACTAAAATTTAAGAAATACCGACTGATCACGCCTAAAACCTTTTCTCATGCTTATAATATGATTCTTTATACAGGTAGCATTTGCTAGCTATTTTTTATGCTTGGATAACCTCGAAGATTTTTATTAATCTGAGAAGCCGACAAGATTCTTACAAGGAGTTAATGTGGTAACCTCATTCCCATCAAAGATTGTACAAATTACGTAAATAAATAAGAGCCCAAGTACAAAGAAAATGTGCTGGTGTTGGTTTACCGCTCCCTGGCCGTCCATTGTCTATAGACATTCAACACATTTTCCTGCTCACGCTCTTTTAACAAAGAGCAATGCCATTGAGTATTGGGGGTGCTCAATACCACTCGCGCAGTGTAGGACTCACAAGTAAAACTCACATTTTATTAATAATAGTGCTTAACACCAACCGATTTTTAAGCATTTTTCTTTAATAAAAGAAGTGTCAATTTGGAAAAGGTAATTTAAAGACTCGTTTTGAAAGCCATAGATTAGAGTTGACTAATCTTCCTTATTATTATTGTTATTGTTATTATTTGTTATTATTATAATTTGCTAGTAATAATCTCTCTCATTTTCTTATAGTAATTTGAGGGTCGTTTAGTTTGTTGATTCAAGTTTTTAATTTGAGTTAGATGTAACTGTTTTTAAGAGCTTTTTACTGTAGCAAAATTCAAATTTTAAACTCAAATCGGTGACGAGACTTGATTTAATATTTGAAGGGCCCGTTTAGTTCATTGATTCAAATTTTTAATTCGAGTTAAGATGTGACTTTATATGAAAAATTTTTGCTATAGTAAAAAAATTAAATGTGATTATTTTAAAAAAAATTTACTATAATAAAACTTAAATTTTAAACTCAAATCTAATCTTTGCGTAAAAGAGACAAGTGGCAGCAAAAGCCCACCAGACTCTGGTGACTCCCGTAAAGAAATATCATTATCTGGGCAAGCTAGGCTTTGACACGTCATCCTCAGAAGGTTGACTTGCAAATTACAATCCGACATAACATTGGAGTTTAACACATCTCTCATCTGACACACTTATGACACCGCCACGTTGAAATGAATATACAGTTCTGACTGTGTTAAAAACAAGTTCACCACAAAACTAAAAAAAATATAGCTTCGTTTAGCAATTAATTAATTAAACATCACTTATCCAAATAGTAAAATATATTGATGCTCATTGAAATCAACTTTTTAAGAACTTTTTACTGTAGCAAAATTCAAATTCTAAACTTAAATCGATGAAATGAATGAGACTTGATTTAATATTTTAAGGGCCAGTTTAGTTCACTGATTCGAGTTTTTAATTTGAGTTGAGATGTGACTTTATATGAGAATTTTTTACTGTAGTAAAAAAATTAAATATGACTATTTTAAAAAAAAATTTACTGTAATAAAACTTAAATTTTACACTCAAATTAAAGAACTGAACAAGGCCTAAAATCTTTGCATGAAAGAGACAAGTGGCAGCAAAAGCCCACCAGACCCTGGTGACTCCCGTAAAGAAATTTGGGCAAGCTAGGCTTTGACACGTCATCCTCAGAAGGTTGACTTACAAATTACAATCCGACATAACATTGGAGTTGAACACATCTCTCATCTGACACACTTATGACACCGCCACGTTGAAATGAATATACAGTTCTGACTGTGTTAAAAACAAGTTCACCACAAAACTAAAAAAAATATAGCTTCGTTTAGCAATTAATTAATTAAACATCACTTATCCAAATAGTAAAATATATTGATGCTCATTGAAATCAACAAACTAATAGATATTATTTATTACGTGTTAGATGATTTTGCTTTACTCTCTAACCAATATGTGCAAGTTTTTAATGTTGATTCTCACGCCTTTTGTGATTTTGAAGTTCTGAACAAACATGTGCAAAATCTTTAAAACAGATTGCATGAAACTAAGAAATAACAGGAAAAAAAAATATTATTTAAGATCATATCAAATATATGTTACTATCTTTTCCAACACAGATAATTAACTGATCATTTCCCAATGATCACCATGTTAGAGAGAGAGAGAGAGAGAGAGTACCCTTCTAATAAGATGAGGCGAACTGACAAGGCATTTGGCGCTCCACAAAGGGTCGTTTAGATCAGCGCCATGTCGTTCCAGTTCAGTGGCAAAACCGCCATCTACGACGGCGTATCCACCGCACTTCTCCACAAAATCAGCCATGAACGACGTCGTCCGTTCAACTTTTCCCAACATCATCGTATTAATTACCGTATTACGATAATTATCAGCAACCCCAGAAAGAAACTAGCTTTATAAAAAGCTTTTAAGGATATAATTAATAGCTTTCGTGGCGATTTTGAACTTCCTTTTCACAAGCTAGCTTATACGTATATGAATAATATCAATATATGTTTTCTTCTGAAAGCAACCCTGAAGAAAACTGGCTTTTTATAGGGTGAAAGAGCTTCCATGAAATTACCATAGTACCTCTATGCTTCGAGCAATTTCTTTTTAAAAAAAAAAATTTTTAATTATTGGACTTTCCTGCAACTACAGTATTTTTGACATTATATATTGTTCTTTTCAATTATCCAATTTCTTTCAATAATTTTCTAAAAACATGATATTGCATGTGAGAGTTAATAGAGTATTTTTCGATTTCCACTAGGTTGTCTTCGATATCAAATTCATATTCTTAATAGATTTGTTTTTTCTTAGTTTTAGTGAGAGTAGAAACAATTCATAACCTAGGTTATGTTAGTATCGAAATTAATGATAATGATAATGAACATTAATGCTAGCTGGTCATTCACCAAACTATTTGAAGTTATTAAATTGAAAAGGAAAAAAAAAACTATATATATATATGTGTGTGTGTGTGTGTGTGTGTATATCCGTATAGATAGGGAAATGAGTGATTGACGCTTTATTATTTTTTCCTCAAACCAGGAAATAAATTATATTAAAACTTAAATGTGGATAGACATCGTTTTCTTAGGCTTATCAAATAGTACACAATTTTCCGTGTAGGAAATGTCTAACTCAAACATAAAGCAAAATTATCATGACAAGCAAAATGATTGTCGAGGTGTGTAAATTAAGCTTTCCATATTGCTGTATCAATATATATATATATATATATATATATGCACGAATCCATAATGTGCATGATTTTTTTTTCTCTTTAATGATTCTTTTTTCTTTTTTCCCTCCTTTTGAAGGAATAAGGAAGGTGGAAATGGAATTTTTCGATTGTACACCTCTTTTGTTTTTGTTTATGATAATCTCATATTAGGTCGAATCAAACCATTTGTTATTTGCAATTGAATGCCAGAATATATCTAAAAAACGACAGGAATATTAGTATTTTTATTAGTATATAGAGTGCTAATTCATTTTCCTTAGACCAAGCCAAAAAAAAAAAAAAAAAAAAGGTCATCTTAAAAGAACGAGTCCCACTGAAAAATACCAACTCCACTAACTTCTTAGGACTTATCGTAAACCAACACAGTATAAACTCAAAGTTTTGTTGGAATCTTTGGTTTCAATTAATTTAAAGAATTTTATGGTAAGATATAAAAAAGAAACTATCCCATAAAGCACAATTTTTATAAAATCGTCAGATTAAATAAGAATCATATTAAATTAAAAACTTTTAACAATTTAAAAGAACTTAATAAAAATAATTGACGGTGACTAAGATTTTTTTTTTTCCTAATGTATCTTATCAGAAAATTTTCCAAATAATTGTTAATTTCTTCACCATAGTCCTTTCCTCCAGTGCTTTTTTACTATCAGGACAAAAATCAAAACAAACAAATTGAATTGCGAATCATATTGCTCCAGCCTCCAACCTTATCAATAACACTGTCTAGAGAGATAAGAACAAAGTAAAGAAAAATTACTAGTAACGTAACAATAGCCGTGCACGTAGTCGTAGTGACATCCACATTAATTCATCCTATCATCGATAAAACAAAACACACCGGTTGAGTGTACCATGACAATGATAGCGTCTGCGTTCATTGGTCGTACCATGACAATGATAGCGTCTGCGTTCATTGGTCCTTTATCAATCAATTATAATACGATTGGGTTTTTTTTTTATTTGGACTGATAATTTGAATAGCGATACGACCATACGATTCAAAATTCATACAAAATAAACAGTTTAAGTTTACTATAATAAATTTAAGTCATAATCGGGTCGATATGATTAATACAATTAATAAATAGATTGAGTTAGAGATGACCTCATACACAATTAACTATATGTGTCATCTGTAATCTAATAATATGTGATATAATATGAAAGTTTATATGACATATTAAATATAAATAATGTGAATTTTAATATTTTTAGGTAAAATTTATTTATTTTTCTTAAAGAAAAAGATAAACTAACTAATAAACATGTTAAACATGTCATGACCGTGCTAAATAAGTCATTATTTTATTAGTTATTTATTTAAATATTAATTTAAACGGGTATACAGGTTGACACGATTAACACGATTAATATATGGGTCGTGTTTGGATTGATATTTTTAACACGTTACGTGTTTGGATTAATATTTTTTAACACAATTAATAAATGAGTTGACACGAACACGATCCACTAATTGACACCCTTATTTATAATATAAGCTTCCAAAGCTAGTTCTCTTTTTTTTCTTCTAGGATGTTCCTTTAGAGATAAGTTGAAGTGACCTTATGTATACACATGGAGAGTGACGCTTACGGGTACTATATTATATAGGCTTCCAAAAGGCTACGTTAAACTAAATGTTCCATTGGCTGAACAATATGACAACCATATTACATATCTTTAAAAAAAGGAAAAAAAAAATGACACCCATGTGATGGTTTTTGTGTTTGTGATATTGGCTGAATAAATAACGCCATTTGTGATCGGTTTTTTGCTCGTCATAAAAATGGTGTCCCACGCCTCTAGTTAAATGGCTATCTTGACAATGTATTAGGATCATAAGTGGAGCAGAAAATAATGTTAGTCATATTTTCGTCAACTAGTGTTTAGATCATAATCTAAAGTCACATCAATTTAAGTTGTAATTAATAAGCTAATAAGAGACATAATTATAATATTTCCGCCGCAGATAGTGAAAATAGATCCTTAAGTACTAATTAAGAGAGTTATAATAAATCGTCTTTCACTACTACAAAATCACCTTTTTGTGGTTGGTGATTTCATATGCATGTTATATATATATATATAATGCGTGTCTTGTATATAGAGTTCATGCAGGTGCGTAATTTTGTATTGCGTTACGCATACTCATTTTCGGTGCGTTTCTGCATATTTGTGTGTGTATATATAGATAGATAGATATATAATAGTGGGTTCGTGTATAATGCCTCATATGATGATATTTATCATGTACACGTGATTGGTTATTCATAATATATATATATATATATATATATATGACCTTATGCTTACTATTCATGAAAAGATCAGTTGAGTTTTTCTAGTTGAGACCACATTCACACACCTCTTCATTGGATTAACTATTAGATGGCTATGAGACAGACTTTAATGGTCCACAAAGAAAACCACAAACCAAAAGAAAAATTAAAATATATATTGGATTAGATTTGATTTTATTAATTAGTGTACTTTAATCTCGTATACACATATATTATATAATTGTGACATATTAAATAGGTATGATACATTTGAATAGTTAATTATATTTGCCCATTTCTTAGTTTCGATCACTTTTTTTTTTTTTTTTTGGCCTGCAAGACCAATGACTCAATCTATAAGTCTAATATTGAATAGAAAAATGGAAATAATAGGAAATATGCCAATATGAAAAGCTTAAGAAAGTATATAAGCTAATTTTTAGTTATAGAAATTAATAGGCCATAACTTGTCAAGTTATGGTTCATAACCAGATAAGTTATGGACAATAACTTGTCAAATTATGGCTCATAACCAGACAATTAGTTATTGACGAAAACAGTAATTTAGCCTATTTATTAACTTATGTAAACTATTGGCCTATTAATTTTAATTCATCTCAAGTCTTGGCCTATTTTCATCTTTTTTCCGTAGAAAAATGATCCGGTTCTTTCAATAGGATTGAAAGTTAACGCATTTACGACTATTATAAAAATAGTGATAAATCATAGACTATAATCATCGTATTTACGACTATTTTAAAAAAAGTAACCTATCACTAAACTGTCCTCGTTTGAACTTAATTGCTCGCTATTGATTATGTTTTGTCCTCTACTTGTTTAAGTAATTATATTTACACCCACAAAATTAATTAATGTCCTCACTAATTCATAATTTATATTAATTACAATTTTATTATACATTAAAACTCATTAACATACCCCACATTAATTATAAATGGACATAATATTTTTTCAAAAAAATAAAAGAGCATAAACTCAGATTAAGTACTATAATTAGAAAGTATTTTTCAAAGAAGAAGAAGGAAGAAGAGGAGGTAAGATGAAGATAATTAATAAATAAATAAAAATAAAGAAAATTACATCAATTTTAATATATATATATATATATATAATATTAATAGTTGAGAGGGATTATATTATTTTATAAATTAAATCAAGATTAAAATTAGGTGTTGATATGAAAGCGTCAAATTAAGTATTGTGAAAGTTAAATCTATAAAAGAATAGATTTTTCAAAAAAAAAAAAAAAAAATTATTAGATGAGTCTTAATTCGTTGGTAAATCTTTAGATGCAAATATAACTACTCAACTTGTTTCCTAGCACTTTTTTGGTCTGCACTTTGAATCAAGGATTAAGAGGTCAAGAACATTTCACTTTTCTATAAATTCCAACCCAACTGCTACATATATGATAATGTTGGAAGATTGAAAATTATGTGTCTAGATAAGTCCTCAAATTAGCTCTTTCTTAAAAGGTACTGAAACTCTCGTTGGAAAGTTACTCAGAACGCAATTTCCACTAGCAAGTATTCTTTCTATAGGCTTTGCCAACGTTTGTTTTGTAAAAGTCATCAAAGCCAATTGCCTCTTTTACAGAAGCTGAGTCAGTCTTGAAGATAAAATGTCAACTTTTTTTTTTTTTTTCATGTTAAATTGTTTCTTGATGCAACATCTTTTCATATATTATATAACATAATTCTCTTGCATATAAACATAAAACGTGTGTTAGTGTAACAGTGAGGATGTTTTTCTTTTTTCTTCCATTCATTTCACCGATTCAAGTTTAGAATTTAAATTTTACTACAGTAAAAAACTATCAGAAATAGTCACATCTAACTTTTTTACTACAGTAAAAAACTCACATAAAATCATATTTTAACTCGAATCAACGAACTAAACGGTAATAATGCAGCTAGAGTTCGATACTCCACAATCTCACTTTATGACTCTTACCTAATCAATGTGTTGTGTGGTTTGTAAAAATTGAACCCATCTTTCGAGTATAATTAAATTAAGTTCTTTCCATCTCATTAATGGACCCTGAAATTTCCAAAATGACAAAGGCGATGGGAGGCGAGATAATGCCAACAATCCTTTTTTTATTTAGCCAAAAAAAAAAAAAAAAAACATGGAATCAAAAAACAATTCCACGACTTGGCCATTTTCCAACTCTTTTCAACTGTAGTCTGTAGGCAATTGTTGAAAGAAAACAACAAGAGACCTTTCTTTGATAACATGCTCAACTTGCTTTACTTGGGTTTAGTTTTCTTAACAAATTTCTTCCTCTGATTGCGGTTGATAGCCTTGGCTGTCAATATTGCTCGTCAAGGCGCGAGACCATCCTAGAGAAAGCAAAATCCATTGGAAATATAGCAACTCTTCCAAGATCAAAACAGACCTATTTGTATATTACAAACACAATTATGTAATACTAATATGTAAAAACAATGAACCACCCTCCTCTGTTTATGGACTACAGAGACACATTTTCATCACCAAAAGGAAAATCTTTGCAAACAATGAATCCCAATCAACAGCCCCCATTTTCGCACTCCCTTTGGCTGGGCAGTAAAAATGCTCATCATTCCAATTCATCAACACAAATAACTGACGGATGAATAAACAATGTTTAGGGACCACGAGCAGGGCGGAAACAGAAACAACCAGAAGCTTGGTCTTCAGGTATCATCCCTCCTCCTTTAGTTGTATCAATAGCTTCCAACAATCTCACCACCTCGTCCATTTCCAGACGTTTGTCTGCGTTTCCATCCCAGCATTTGCGCATGATGTTTGCCAAAGAACTTGGACAGCACCTTGGAATTTCTGGTCGTAAATTCTGTTAACATAACCGTGCAATGGAAACTTCAATGTCAGATCCCAAAAGTACCAATAGACTTGCAAGATACGAAAGATGAAAATAAAATTACCATAGGAACATGTTTACATTGCAGTTTACATGAATGGGAGAGGGAGGAGTGTTTCCCTTTCACATTCCCACCCATTCAGGTTTCTGCTTACAGAATAAGGAATGACAATTTAGTGGGACTCACATAATTAAGAAAAAGAACGGGGAAAGGGAATGCCAATCTTAACTCTACCCTTGTATTGTTGTCCAGTTAAGTGGAATAAACAGCGGATTTACCTTTATATCCTTTCGAAGACGATGATTACTTTATTATGCACAAGGGAACTCTAGTAACTAAATTGATAAGACTCCTAATTGGATTGTTTACTATTCCACTTCCAATAGATAAGTAAATGCTAGAAACGGAATCGATGATCCTCGTTCTTTAATTGCCTTTCCAAACTCATTATCTTTCTCATTACATTTCACTAATGTTTTGGTAAAAATGCCCTGGATGTTGCTTTACTTACGAAACGGAATCAATGATCCTCGTTCTTTAATTGCCTTTCCAAACTCATTATCTTTCTCATTACATTTCACTAATGTTTTGGTAAAAATGACCCTGGATTTTGCTTTGCTTACTACTACTTGACCTGATTTACTAATGCTTTAAGCTTAATCCCATTTCCTTACTCTTTGGTCGTTGGGCATTCTTCTAATCAAATTAATAAAAAGGGGAAAATAGCTACAAACAGTCTAGTTAAGAGCAGATACTACAGGTTGAGTAACATTATCTTCAAAATATATAATTATTATAAACTTAAGTGTTGCACATGAGCTGTGTATGCATCAATTTCTAAACCACTTGATTTTATTAGGCGTCATTCAATGTGTTTGCAAAATGAGATACCATTATTCTTCTCCTATATAAATTCCAATGTCATTGTAGGTTTAAAAGTTACTATGAATATAACTAGGAAGAGTAAAAATGTGCCATTATAAATCTATGAAGAAAGATAAAAGGGTATCAATGGTATTCGGCACCACTACTCATAATGGCTGGAACCCACACGTGTGGGGATCGTGCGTAGGGCCTACTATTTGTGAGTCGTGGTGCACACTACCACTAAAGCCAGATAGTTTTTCCCTTGGACTATTCATTGCCTAAACTGACCTGTCGAACAACTGCAGATGATATATCAGCAAAGCTAAGGTCTGGGTAGGGCATATCACAACAATAAATCTCCCATAAGCATATCCCAAAGCTGTAGACGTCGCATCTTCTGTTATAAGGCTTACCATCAAGAACCTACACGAATTCACGACAGAAGATATTTTTATTGTTTTTTAGTTTCAGTAACGAAAACATTTCAACCCTAAAACCAAATATAACCTCTTGACACATGATAATCTTTTTTTATTAATATGAGAGATGAATTGAAATTGAAGATAATTTTCTCTTGCACGTTTATTTTTATGGAAAAATATTCATCTATATTAGAAAAATTGAGGTTCCAACAAGGCATATTACCTCTGGGGCCATGTATCCTAGAGTACCAGTTTCGCCGGTCATATCCCTGGGATTTTGAGCTTCAACACGAGCAACACCAAAATCAGCTATTTTCAGATTTCTGTGCGCATCCAGCAACATATTCTCTGTTTTGACATCACGATGAACGATCTTTTTTGAATGCAGATAGCTAAGTCTACAAGATTGAAACGGGTAATGACACTTTTAGTAATAGAAATTGCATTTGTAAGCTGAAATAGCCAAAGAGTGTAAAGGACAGAACTTACCCTCTAGAGAGGTCCAAAGCAAGTTGAATCACAACTTTAAAGGCAAGCTTCTTTCGCCTATTTCTTATCAGGAATTGTTTGAGTGTCCCACCAGGAAGATACTCCACAACCACGCAACACGCCTTTGAAGGATGGGAACTGTAACCATCAGATGGATTTTTGGGAGGAATCTTAAGATCTGAAGCTCCCATTGAAGCCCCAACAAACTGAAACCAAAATTTGAAAAGAAAAAAAAATGTTAATGTACTTGACCAATCAGAAATATGACAAACAAAAGAACTCAAGTTACACCATACTGAGAAATGAAGGCTATGTTTTTTTTTTATATATATACACCCAGAAATCCCCCGAGCCCACATGTGAGCCCAAGTAAGAAACTTGGCTAGGTGACGAAAACTAAGGCTATTTTGTAAGAGCGAAAGAGGATAAGAAGGAAAGAAAGCCATATAACCTAGGTGAGGAAAATAGAGAGCAAGGGGAAAACCTCTCCCTTATTGTGTTTAGTGTTGATTCCTTCCTATAATCTCTCCATATTTGGAGATTAAAAGTGGAATACTTTGAATGCTTCACCCAATCCATTTCCCTCCTCCTTTCTCTCTTACCAAACAATAACGGTTATCAAAAGTCCTCCGACTAGTCCCCTCACCCCTTCCGCTCCTTCCACTTTTCCCTCCTACCAAACAAGCTCTAAGGTATAGCATATTTCACAATGTGAATGGGTACAAGATCACAAAGATGCAATGCAAAGTTCTCTCTCTTACATGAAAAGCAACAGTACAATCGGGAGTTGATATATTATTCTCATGGTAATGCAAAAGGAATCAAAATGAAAAAGTTAGGAGAACAAGAGTTTGTACTTTTGTAACATTAGGATGGTCAAGCTTGTGCCAAACAGCAACCTCTTGCCGAAATGACGCCCGCATAGCAGCCGTCTCAGCAGTCGTTGCAAGACCATCCTCTCCCCAGTCCAACACCTTCACTGTTGTATTTGAGACATCATCACAACAAGAATTCGGTATGATTATCAACAGTTTTCAATAGTTATCAGTGACACTTAGTGTAGAAGTGAATCATCTTATTCAAACATCAACTCAATTAGTTTTCTACCCTGTTCCAACCTCTACACATTAAACAATCAACAATGAAGCTTACACAGTTACACACACCACAACCATTGCAGAACCAGCCCATTTTCGAATGCTGTACTACATGTATATTCCTACTTTTTCACCAATTTCTAGCCCTACCAGCTGAAAGAAAGTTGCCACAAATGAACGTATTAAACCTTTTATATCAGATGCTATACCGCAGAGTAAGCTTTTTGTATTTCATATATTTCCTGTCTGCCAACGAAACTGATTTAAGACCAATGTAGTTTTTCTTTCACATAGGAAACCAAAAGCAAGCAGGATTAGAATCGTTAAATTATTCAATCCTCCAATTAACTTTCCCATCCTTCTTGGTGTGAATATCAGCCCACCATCATGAGATAATTAAGATTGCACATAAAAGAGCTTTTTAAACCCGCAATCAAAACAAAAATGTGAACCAATTATAAGTTATCACCTTTCAAATTGACACCAGAATATTCTACAAATTCACAAAAACAAATCAATGCCTAATCCACACAAGTTGTAACAAGACGACAATATTACAATATAAAAAATAAAAAAATAAAAAAAACAGATTCTTTTTCTCTTTTCCTTCTCAAAATCAGTTTAAGCAAAAGGGATTAAAGAGTGATATAATAATACCTGCAACATCTTGGCTATCATAAGTACCCCGGTACACAGTACCATAGGTCCCTTGAGCCACAACATATCTTATATCCAATTTCGACAAATCAATCTCCCACTCTTCCTTTGGCCTCTGGTTGTTGCTGTTTCTTGAGAAAACTTTGCTGAAATGCTTATCTAGTTGTATATCCAAGTTCTTCAAATCAATTTGATCCGCTCTGAAGATCATGTCTTTGCTACTAACACTTCCTGTGCCATTCACCTTTGAATTCGTGTTGACATCCTCAGCTGTCTTGGAATCCATTGTCAAGAATCCCAGAAAACAAAAAATAAGGGGGAAAATAGAAAAACCCAGAAAAAAGAAAGAAACCCTTTTGATTGATAATCTTAGAATCCCATGATTTGAAAAAGATTTGTTGCACTTTTTCTCATCAATCAAAGGAATAAAAAGGAAAATAATTTGCAAAATGACAATATGTGTTTCGCTAATAAAGCTTTTTCACAAATGAAAAATAGCAAATCCAGTAAATAAAAACCAAATGATAACAAGATTAAAATTTCTATTTCAAAAGGTGACTCGTTTGTTGACCTGATAACCCCCAAAAAAAAACAACAAAATTTGTGTTTTTCAAGCCACCAAATAAGAAATTTCACAAATAAATTTTCTTCATGAATTTATGAACCAAAAAAACCTTATATACCCACATCACCAACCATTTCTTTTTGCTTACTTTTCCAAAATTCAATTGATTGACAAAAAAGAAAATACAAGAAAACCCTAAGAAAATGACCCAATTCCCACCACTTGATGACCCAAGACCAACGACAAAGAAATAAAAAAAATAACAATAATAATTAAGAAAAGCGTTGAAAATTGAAATCCAATAAAAATATAAAAAGAAAGCACAATCAAAACCAGAAGAGAAGAACAACAAGGCCTGCAAGAACCACGCGTGCAATACCCATATTCTCAAAATTAAAAATTATAGAGAGAGATAAGGAGAGAGAAAGAGACGAAAAGGTTGACTTAATCTATGGAAGCGAAAAGAATAAGAAAAAGAAGAAAGTCGGCGAGAATCAGAAAAGGGTTTTGAGATTCAAAGGAAAAGGCAAAGAAGAAAGTCGTCGGAGAGCCATAAATTCACCATAGAAGATGGAGGAAAAAAAAACCCACATCAAAAAAATCCCAAAAGAGAAAATTCTGTGATCAGAAAAATGGAAAGAAAATAAGGAAAAAAACACCCAAAAAAAAAAACCCAGAAGAATCGGAGGCAAAGAGAGAGGGACCAACCAAAAAAAAAAAAAAAAAAGAAAAAGAAGGGTCAGAAAGCGAAGGACGAAATAGCTCTCTTCGCGGGTTTCGCTTTAAATAATAAAATATAAATTAAATAAACAAATAAGAGGCTTTGGAAATGAGAAGCTGTTTGTGTTTGGGAACAAAATATAAATAAAGAAAGAAAAAAAAAGGAATAAGAAAAAGAGGTACAATTTAGGACGGACATTCAGGAGTTAAGAGAACAAAAAAACTCTGGTCCGTACCCCCTGTCGTATTAACTAAATTACCGGTACCTTTTTGTACTCGACCTTATTGTCCTCACGGAAATAAAGAAAGAAATAATTAAGACCCTGTTCACTTCGAGTTTAGAATTTAAATTTTACTACAGTAAAAAATTTTTAAAAACAGTCACATCTAATTTTTTTTACAGTAAAAAATTTTCACATAAAATCATATCTCAACTCGAATTACAAACTCGAATCAGCGAAGTGAACAGGCTCATTGCGTTTAGTAGGGTCCAAATATGATGGTTTTAATTTTAGAATTATAATCCTAATTTATGTTTTCAATTTATAGTTTAAACTATAGTTCTAGAATCAAAATCAAAATTAGAGGTTTGAACCATTTAAAATTAAAGGGGCAGGCGGTTTTATTTTTGTAGGTGATTCTAGTTTAAAACATCACATCAGTATTCAAACCTTAAACCAGAACCATTCAAACTAAATACTTATTTTCAAGAATCATTTTTTACTTTTTGCAAACAAATAAAAGTTTGAACCAGAGTCATAATTCATAGTTCTAGAACTTTCATACCAAACACAACTTAAGATTTCTTTATGGGTGCACCAAAATACCGATAAGTTAAGTTTTTATCCGTCAGATATGCATAAAACCACGTAAAAATCAAAAGATACGCAGTTTCAACGGTTAGAAAAACTTAATCTACTTTTACACTAAACATAACAGAGAATCTCCCTTTACTTAAAAGAACAAATTTTATTAGGGAATGGTCCTTTTATAGTATAATATATTGAATCATATCTGACCGATTAAATTATATTGTATTATTGAAAAGTTTGAAATACTTTTTAAATGATATTTTTATGATTCAAAATTTAAGGCCTCGTTTATTTCGGTATTTCAAATCACAAGTTTTTGCTACAGTTTTTCTCACAAAAATTTAAATTTAACTTTTTGTGCTGCAGTATTTTCTTTTACATAAATTCACCTTTTAACTCGAATCAACGAAACGAACGAGGCCTAAGTTTATTAAACGACATTCATCGTTGTAGGCGCGAGGCTCAATGACGGTGACGGCCATCACAAAATTCTAATATTCTGATCATTATGAGACCTTTGACGATGAACTTGTTGAATGTGACAAAGAGAGATACAGATAATTAGGTTGCCAGAGAAAGAGTACAACAACATAGAGGAAGAATTGGCGCAAAGAGAAGTTCGTTGAGAGGGAGAGAGAAAGGATGAGAGAGAGTGTGACTGGAGAGAGGGAGTGATTAGGGCTATACATAAATCTGAACAACCTGTAAACCCAACCCACCCCACCCCAACCCAACCCAATCCAAAAAATGCAACTTATAGCATTTTTTTATTTTTCGGCCCACTAAATGTCTAGCCCGAGGTGTTTGGGGCGGTTTATGGGTTGGGCCTATAATAACCCGCATACCCTAACCCAACCCGCATAAACATGCATGATAAGGAACCTATGAGTGTGGACTGATAATGATGGTTGCTGTTGCAGTGCTTGCTTTGGATGGATTTGAATTAAGCCTCTAATTTATGTTTGCTTTATGTTTGATGTTGGATGAACTACTTTGCTTCATGTTTAATGTTGGATTGAACTTTGAATTGCTATTTATTTGATGATGGACTAATCAGTATTATTTCTATTTGATTATGAACTTTGAATGTTGGAGTTATGTTTGATTATCAGTACTTTTTCTATTTGATGACCATTATTATTTGATGATGAACTTTGAATGTTGGAGTTATTATTTCTATTTGATGATAAATTTTGAATGTTGGATTAAACTTTGAGTTTTTGAATGATGAACCTGACCACCCAACCCACCCCGTCCCGTCCCAACCCAACCCAAACATCATTAGGTTGTAAAAAAAATTTAATATCGTTGGGGTCAAATATGTACAACCCGCACCTTTTAGGGCAGGATAAAAAAAAATCCTACTCCGCACCAACCCAACCCATATACGGTATTAGAAGTGATGAATACTAGAGTGAGAAAAAGAAGAAAGAGGGAGAACATTGAGCAGAAAAAGGAAAAATAATGAAAAAATAGTACTTTTAGAAAGTAAAGTATTTTACTCTTGAAGAGGCCTATTAATTTCTAATCTTTACTAAATGGGCTAATTACTCCCACAGATGTTAAAAACAGGCCTATTTATTGTAATTTCTCTTTTGGGAAACTCAAAATTGGACGGGCTATTGAATCCTACAAATTCTATATATTTAAAGTCTTGTTTTTTTCGTAACTCAAATGACAACTTAAGTTTTATTATTATTATATTTTCTTTTATAAAAATTTAAATTAAAATTTTTTATTATAATATTTTTCTTTCACATGTATAACTTGAGTGATAAAATAAATAAACTCTAAAAAGTCAAAAACATGTGAGAAATAGATAATAAAGGGGCTTGGACGCTTGGTATTATTTGAAGTATCAATAATTATAGAGGGTTTTGCTTTTGTTGAGATAATGTATGTATGACGTATTATAATTTGAATAAAAAATTTGTGAATATAAAAATATTTGGCAAAAACTTAGTACGCGACTCCTCTAACAATAAAATGCATGTTATAATTACGTTTTCTTTTTCTCTTCATTTTGCAATAGTAAGACTGGACTTGAACTTTTTTTTAATGATGATGTTTTCTTAAACTTTTTTACGTTTTCTTAATAATTGATGGATGTTTTCTTAAACTTTTTTACGTTTTCTTAATAATTGATGGATGTTTTCTTAAACTTTTTTTTTTTTCTTTTTGTGGTCTAATACTAAAATTATGGACTTGAACTCTAAATCCTTGCATTTGTTAGCAATTGGTTTTGTGATCATGGAACGTTATAAAAATGAAATTTTGTTGATAATTTTTAGACTAAGGCTATTGGTACTAACTTTTTTTTTCCCCCCCTTTACTAACTTGTTTATCAAATTTATGTTGAAATGGTGATTGTGATGAAATGATGGTTGTGGGCTGGCAGGCTGCAAACAGCTGCACACAAATCATATGTTTTGTCTGCAGGTTGAAACTTGAAAGTTTATATAGAATTTTCACTTATGTTTATTTTTCCCTTAATAATTTTAATATTTCTTATCAAAATCACATTAAAATAATAAAAAACGAAGTAAGAAAACTAACAAAATCTTGAACAAATATGACAGTTCAAAATAGAACACTGTCACCCTATTGTAAAGTTCTCATTCTCTTGTTTAAAGACTTAGTCTAATAGATTTTTTTACCGGTAATACTAATTTTTTATCGTTAAAAATGGTTAAAATCACATTAAATTAAAAAAATACGGAACAAATAATTTTTAATATCAATTTGACGGCTGAAAAATAAAAAATTATCGATAGTTTATTTTTGTAGTCCTACCAGAGAAACTCTCTTCTTTTTAACTCAAACACATACAAATAAAATCATTCTCGGAGCCACCAATAATTAAAGGCTGGTGAACAATCCAAGGTTTTATTGGTTCATCTAGACATTATTGGTAAATATTCGGGAAGAATTCCTAGTAAAACAAGGGGAAGGAATCAAGAAGAATTAAGAAATAAATTTATACATGTAACTAAAATCATCTTACAACTCTCTACATGTACAATGCAGAAATAATAGTCCAATGGTTCATCTGCAATGTGGCTGTCAATTTAAAGTTATTCTTATTGATATTGAAATTTCATATAGTAGATATTTTCCCCTCTTAATTTTACCATTACATTTTATGTGATAATTACTCTTTTCTTCTATCAATGATAATTTCAACAAAAAAATGCTTATATTTAGAGACCAATTCTATTATGTCTGACGTGTAAGAAAAAGAAAATTGCTTTGTTGCATAAAAACTGTCATATAAAAATGGGTAAGCAATAGTTGTCATAATCATTTCGCACAAGTGATTATAAATGAATAACATAAAAACAAAAGGCACTTTGATGTCCACATCCTGGAATTAGTAATACAGATCTCCAAAAGATACATTTGTCGATTCAAACGATGGAGCAGAAAGTTTGTC